ACTTCCATCGAAATAAGTTGCTGCAACTTGATTGTGACTGGAATGGGTTGCACACAAGCAACCACAATTGTTCAGTGACAAGTGTGCTGCTAGGGTCAGTGACATTAAACCAGCAGTTCAAATTTCATAAAACATAACAAACGCCTTTCAGTTGCATAAGTGTCATGAAGGTATCAAAAAGAAATTAAATGAAGATTTCTAGCGCCTTCTATTACAATTCAATAATTACAATTGCAGGAAACCAAAAATTGAAAATAAAATCAAATTCATTTTAAGACCCCTAGCGCTCTTTTTTGCTTCAGGAACATTAAAACCAACATTTCCAATTTAATCAAAAATTATAAATGCTTTCCAGTTACATTAGTATCACCACCAAACTATAAAAAACAACAAATTATATTAAAGACCTCTAGCGCCCCTCTGTTGCATCAGAGGTATTTGAAACCACACATCCAATTTCCCATTTTTCAAACGCCCTCCACGAGCATGTTCATCATCAAAATAAACACAAAAAATTCAATTCAATTATAGACCCCTAGCGCCCCCTGTTACAAACCAACAATTTCAATTTCAGGAAACAAAAATTAAAAAATAAAATCAAATTCAACTAAAGACCCCAGCGCCCCTTTGGTTCAAGGAAATTAAAAGCAAAAATTCAAATTTTCACAAACTTCACAAGCGCCTTAAATTTGCATTAGTATCTTTAATAAGAAATAAAAACAAATACTCTTAGCGTCCCATAATGCAAACCATTTGAATTTAATAAAAAAATCAAAACGCCTTCCAGAAGCATGTTTATCATCAATGAAAATATATTTGAAATCAAATTCAACTAAAGAAACCATCACATTAAACAAATGATATATATGTGTCAGACTCACAGTTCTTATGTGTACACACAAAATTCATGTGTAACCACACATACTATTTATTTAACTAATAAATTTCATGTGTACTTCTGATAAGATTCTGTTTATGTATGGACACATGAAAATCATGTGGAATTTTTCATGGAAATTCGCCAATAAAAATGTGTCGAATTTTATGAGTGTAGCGCCCCCAGTTGTAAACTAACCATTCTTATTTCACGAAACATTCTAACAGCATCCAGAAGCATGCATGTCATCAAAGTAAAAAAAATATATATATAAAATTTAATCAAATACCCCTGGTGCCCTCTTGTAGAATTAGAGATATTAAAAATCACACTTTTAATTTCCTTATTTTCCAAACGCCTTGCAGTTTCATGAGTATCATCAAAATAAAAAACAAATCAAATTTAAATTAAATACTCCTAGCGCCCCCTGTAGCTTGTTGTTATTTAAAAACAAAATCTTAATTTTTAATTTCTCCGCCGAATTTGATTTTGCATAAAAATTATAAAATAAATCAAGTGTGTATGTGTATGAAACAATAGGAGGGGTTAATAGTAAAGATCTAGCATAAGGAGAATCAGGAGGGCGCATGGGGTATAGAAACACAGATCATTTGGAGGGGCCATGGGGGAGGCCCCTTGCTTCACATCAATACGAACTCAATTTTTGCAGATGAGCAGTTTGGATTTCTCCATGGGCATTCATCTACTCATCAACTATTTAGAGTTACCAATTTAATTCACTCAAACAAATCTGAAGGCTGCTCTTCTAGACATATAAAAATCATTCGACAGTGCTTGGCATGAAGCTTGTTCAAATTGTTATGAAATTTGTTCAAAATTATTTTACTGACGGAACTCTGTAGGTAAATTATCAAAATTCCAAATCTGAACGACTACCTGTTAAGTGCACCCGACACGCCAATTTTTATTGACAATAATCTATTGTAAATACATTATATATTGACGTGAATACATCGATATTGACAAAATTTATGTATTCACATCATCAATAATATTGTCAATACTTGTAAGTATTGACAATATTTCTTACCAAGTGGGGTTCACTTTAGAGCAGGAGTTCTTCGGGGTAACATTTTTGGGCCTATATTATATAACATTTTCACTTTGAACCTCCTTGATTTGCCTCAGGGTTGCCACAAATCTTTGTTCGCTGATGACACAGGCATTTCCGCTAAAGGAAGAAGTCTTCGTTTTATTTTCAGCAGACTACCAAAAAATTTTACATATTTTCTCTTCTCCCAACGCTTCTAAAACTCAACTTATAATATTTCCACATAGGCCTAGAGCTATCTCTTTGAAACCTAGCAGTAGTCACATAGTCACTATGAACGGAGTTCTAATTTCTTGTTCAAGTCAAGTGAATTACCTTGGCAGTACTTGACCAAAAATTTACTTTCAAAGTTCACATTAGGGGCATTCAAGCCAAATGTAATAAATATATAAACAATTTGTATCATCTTATAAACAAGAAATCCAAAATTTGCCTGAAGAATAAACTTCTAATATTTAAACAAGTTTTTAGATCGGCCATGCTTTATGCTGTGTCAATACGTTTCCAGTTGTTGCACTACCAGGAAAAAGCACTTCAAAGGATTCCAAGTTTTGAAGATGATTTTAAAGTTGCCTCCCTGGTACAGTACTATCGAGGTGCATCGAATTTCGAATGTTGAGACTTTAGAACAAATGTCCAAGAAAATAATTAATTATTTCATGCAACAATCATTGCAATCCTCAATTGCAACAATGTATTCCCTTCCTATTTAGATAAGATTTAGTTTATGTTTTTAGTTTTAAAATGTCAATTGTTATACTGACCTGCAGGTATAACAAACCTGTTTTTAATTCTGAATTACCAAGGCAGGAACAATATAAAAACACTTAGATATATATCATAACAATTAAGGCTGGTTAGTAGCTGTAGTAGCTGGAGCACCTAGGTTAAACAATTAAATGTTATTTATTTGAATTTATAACAACTAAAGAGTTAAAAAAAGAAGCATAAACATCGTTTATGGTGCACCACGAGATAGTAAAATGTATCGAAATGGGTCGCTCAGGTTGTTAGTCATTAACGTATGTTAACGTATTCAATGGGGATTTGCTTGAAGACTTTAACGGATTTCTTCTTCTTCTTCTTCTTTTTCTTCACATTTAAAGTTTTTTGTTTATCGCATATTAGCTAATTACGTGCTTTGTGTTTTATATGAAATTTCAAAATTATTAATTGAGAGCTTTCGATGTCTACAGCTTTTTTGCATTAGCCTAATTGTGTGACAAGTACAATCATACTCTATGCCCAGCAACCCGGAGGCAACTTGACAACTATATATTGCCCCGACAATTTGATGCTGGTGGTTCTGTCAAACTCACAAATTTCAGAAGTGTTATCTAATTAGAACGAATGCCGGAATGATGTACAGTAAATAAAATATAAGTTTAAAATTCATTTGTTTACGGTGCGTGGTGACATCTACTATTTTTAAGTGGGTACGTGAAACTAACACCCTGTCGGAGGCTTGATGCTCAGGGATGTCAAGAAAATTTACAATCCGAGACCGGACTGGGAATCGAATAAAGCTACCTCCAGCCTGGTATTGCTTTGTAGTTGCGCCTTTACCGACTGAGCTAAAGGAGGCCAATCGTCATTGACATCCCTGGTTGCACTCAACGAACGAATGATTTCTCATGTTTTATTCTTTAAAAAAATATGCTTTCAATTAATACTTCTATCCTTGCAGTCCAGATTATTTTGGTACATCTTGCTTTAAATTCGATATTTTCGTGTATTTAGTATTAAGTATCTCATATAGCTACGTAATCGCGCACGGGAGGGATCCCTACGTTGTGTTGTTTATCTTTCAATTTCTGATCCCGATCAAGATGGATAGTAATGAAACGCATCTATTGCTTCGCCGTCCTGCCATGTCGGAAGCCCGAGCAGGAAAAAATAACTTATTAATACCAAATTCAGATATGAAAATAGCATAATTGGCAACCTAAATATGGTATTAGTGAGGCTGACATAAGAGGTAACATACCAAAAATAATACCTCAAAAATGTTCTACGAATCACGAACTAATAAATAATTTAGTTATTACAATAACAAACAGATAACAGACGCTTTTTTAGATGCCAGAATACCAAAGTTTGTTATTTTGAAGGTCATTTAATACCAATTCAATAACTCGACTGACTGAACCCGAGCAGGAATGAATATCTCGATACTTTAAATTGGTATGGATGAATACCAAAAAATAATACCAAAAAAATGTTCCCATAATACTATTCCAATACTAATTTATGATAATGTAATACCTGAGCAATACTACACAGGTATTCTTCTGGTATTCAAGTATCAATTTTTGGTATTTACAAAGTATTTTCCATGTAATTTTTTGGTATTATTCTTTGGTATTTTACCTCTTATGTCATGCTAGTCAATACCAAATTTTGGTATCAGATCAGAATCAGGTATCCATTAGTTGTTTTCTCCTGCTCGGGAAGGTTCACATTTTGTTGTTTTGGTATTCATTTGATATTTTACAAAATATTTCGATAACTGAATAATACCAAAACAAGGTTTTATACCACAAGCATACCGAAATCTTATATCATACCGCATTAAGATATTAATTTGTTATCGATTAGTTATCGGTTCCTGCTCGGGAGCATACGACACACTAATTTATTGTTGCTTTGTTTTGTATAGTGTAGTGGTACAGTGGGTAGGGTAGTTGCACATATAGATGACATTGCACAAACACTACGCAATGTTAGCAGTCTATGGTATATAAATCGCTAGACCATGCGAAAACTGGTGCAATTTTGAAACAGTGTTATAACTGGTGCATCTTCGCTATACGTTGGAATTGTCTTCTTCTATAGATACAGTCAACGCTCCACAACTTGATGTCCACTAGCTCGATATCGAGTTATAGAACCATAGTAAAAATTAATTTCATGGTTACTGTGATAACGATTTCCTATGGGATTGTTATTCTATAACTCGATGGTCCCTTTAATCGATTTGTAGAGAGTTCACTTTATATTCAAGTGAGAATGTAATATGCCAGAATAACGGATGGTTGAAGTTGTACTTACGTAACGTGCAATGTCGTCCATTCCATCCCTGCGAGCATACACAGGTTCCATTTTTACATTGACCATGCTCGGCACATCTTGCATCACAAGTCAGCTGATCACATAAGCTTCCGGTCCATCCTTGGTTACACCGGCAACGTCCTGATTCACATATGCCATTTGGACCGCAATCAAGGCTGCATACGGCTGTGGAAGCAAGATGTAATAATCATATTTAGAGATGCCGATTCGATAACTGGCACCGATATGTGTACTGACAATAAACTTGCCTGAAGCAGAAATAACTTAATTTGAAATATGTACCTTGAGAACAATCCACTCCGGCCCAGTGACGGTCACATACACATGATCCTGTCTCCAGGTCGTAAGTGCCATGATCGGAACATGTAGGAAGACATTGATATACTTGCTGATCAACGATGCTACAATCATCTCCTTGCCAACCAGCCTTACAATAACACTGCCCTGACACACACGTTCCATGGCCAGAGCACGATGGGTCGATACAGTCCGCTGCGCAACGATTTATGGTTAATTATTAGTTTTTGAAAGATTCATGCTTAGCTTGTTTTTAGTTTACAGTGTCAACATATATGTATGTAACATGCATGATCATGAATGCGATAAAGGTAATTTCTAGTACTTACGTTGCTCGCAGTATAATCCTTTCCAGCCTCGTTCACAGTGGCAGTCACCTTCAATGCATCGTCCATGATTAGAGCAGCTAGGAAGTTCACACTCGGCCACCGGTATATCACACTCGGAGCCTTTCCATCCTTCTTCGCAATGACATACACCACCCCCATAGTGACCATGAGATGAGCACAGCACCGGACACACGCCTGCAATATTAAATATTAAATAAATCTGTGATATATCTGATCCAGATTAGCAGTACAGTTTCCCATCTTCGTTCGTATCCGTTACACCATTAGCGTAATTTATTATTTTTAAAAATGTTTTGATTTTAAAGAAAATAATTCGTCTTTTTGCCATTCTCGTATATCTAGGGTACATACACCTTCAAAATTATATGGTGTTATTGTTTTTGTACACCAACGAACTGATATTTCAAAAAAAAAAAAATCTTCAGTTGAGTGACACTGAGGTAAGTTTGTTTGATTGCAGTTTTTTGGTACATATGGGATATTTTGATTTTCAAAGGAGGTTAGTGTTATCTTAGCATAATGCAATTATGCTTTATCCGGCCAAAACACGTAGTTTCCGTCTGCGTGATGTTTTTGAAGAAATATAATCAATATTTTCTTCAAACATTGATTTTGGTACACACGTTTAGAAAAATTCATGTAAATTTAAGTGTTCTGAGACTGACATATACGAGCGTCAATTTTGACATAAAATTGAGTAATAATAGACGCGAAATTCAACTCAATCAAACGTACTTTTCGTCGAGTCACGAACTTTTCAGTCTCGGAGCACTTAATTTTACATGACATGTTTGTTTACGTCTCATCCTTCATGTCAAAGATTGATTCCTTCACATGTAAAATTAGGTGTTTCTAAGTGTGCACTTCTTGGTTGATAGCCAAACCGCTGGGCTTGAACCATGGCTTATAAATTCCTCTCTCCGATATGGCAATATACACCATCACTTCACCGGAATTTGAGATTTTGAGAGAGGAAAGTAACTTCCATCATCCAAAACGAGAAATTTTCTTGAGGGTTTTTTGTCATCCAACGGCATTGAGTTTTCACGTTCGAAATTTGTTGATCGGTGTATTCTGGCGCTCTTGATTTGTTTCGACAAACTATTCCTATCCTTTTCAACGCTTTAGATCATTCCGTATCGAGCGCTGAGTCGGTTAGCACGGGCCCGGTCTCTCACACGACATTAAGTATTAGTTGTGTTTTTTTTCCACCCGCGTGGTTTTTTTTCGCATCACAGTGCAGTGTCCAGGTGATAAGCGCGCGTGTCTCGGAAGCACCGAAATTCGGCGAGCCCGTTTATTTCGAGTGTCCATCTTTACCCATCCCGGTGAAAGATCACCATCATCACGACGTCTCCATTGTATCGCAGTTATCGACGTCTCCATTGTATCGCCACCTGCAGCTGCAAGCAAGCAGCAGTAAACGGCATAAGTATAATAGGATAGTTTTTTTTCGATTGCCTTGCTATTGTATAGCAAAGTTGCCTTGTGACAGTTTTTTTTTTTTTTTTTTTTTTTTTTTTTTTTTTTTTTTTTTTTTTTTTTTTTTTTTAACTCTTTATTTGTTTCAAATTCAAAATAAATTACATTTCATTTTAACCTAGGTGCTCCAGTTACTGCAGTAACGTACCAGCCTTAATTGTTATGATATATATCTAAGTGTTTTTACATTGTTCATGTCTTGGCAATTCAGTATTTTAAACAGGTTTTTTAACCTGCATGTCAGTATAACAATTGATATCTTAAAACTAAAAACTAAAACTAAATCTTATCTAAGTATAAAGGGAATTAATCGTTGCAATTGAGGATTGCAACGATTTTTGCCTGAAATTATTAATTATTTTGTTGGACATTTGTGCTAAAGTCTCAACATTCGAAATTCTATGTACCTCGGTAGTACTGTACCAGGGAGGCAACTTCAAAATCATTTTCAGAACTTTGTTCTGAATCCTTTGAAGTGCTTTTTTCCTGGTAGTGCAACAACAAGACCATATTGGCACAGCGTAAAGCATGGCCGGTCTAAAAACTTGTTTAAATATTAGAAGTTTATTCGTCAGGCAAAGTTTGGATTTCCTGTTTATAAGAGGATACAAACATTTTATATATTTATTACATTTGGCTTGAATGCTCTCAATGTGATCTTTAAAAGTTAATTTTTGGTCAAGAACTAATCCAAGATATTTCACTTGGTTTGACCAGGAAATTGGAACTCCGTTCATAGTGACTATGTGACTACTAATAGGTTTCAAAAACGAAGCTCTAGGCTTATGTGGAAATATTATAAGTTGAGTTTTGGAAGCGTTGGGAGAAATCTTCCATTTTTGTAAATAAGAAGAGAAAATATCTAAACTTTTCTGCAGTCTGCTGCAAATAACACGAAGACTTCTTCCTTTAGCGGAAATGCCTGTGTCATCAGCGAACAAAGATTTGTGGCAACCCTGAGGCAAATCAGGGAGGTCCGAAGTAAAAATGTTATACAATATAGGCCCAAGAATGCTACCCTGAGGAACTCCTGCCCTAACAGGTAGTCGATTAGATTTGGAATTTTGATAATTTACTTGGAAGAGTTCTGTCAGTTAAATAATTTTGAACTAATTTCATAATATAAAGTGGAAAATTAAACTTTTTCAATTTAGCAATCGAACCTTCATGCCAAACACTGTCGAATGCTTTTTCTATGTCTAGAAGAGCAACTCCAGTTGAGTGGCCTTCAGATTTGTTTGAACGAATTAAATTGTTAACTCTTAAGAGTTGATGAGTAGTTGAATGCCCATGGCGAAATCCAAACTGCTCATCTGCAAAAATTGAGTTCGTATTGATGTGAAGCATCATTCTATTCAAAATTATCTTTTCAAAAAGTTTACTTATTGAAGAAAGCAAACTTATTGGACGGTAGCTAGAAGCTTCAGCTGGATTTTTATCCGGCTTCAAAACTGGAACAACTTTTGCATTTTTCCATTTATCAAGAAAGTATGCCAAATGGAAACATCTGTTAAATAATTTTACCAAGAAAGACAAGGTACTCTCTGGGAGTTTTTTGATGAGGATATAGAAAATTCCCTCATCACCTGGAGCTTTCATATTTTGAAAATTTTTAATTATAGACCTTACTTCGTCCAAATCAGTCCCCCAGGAATCATCAAAAATATTTTCCTGAGAGAAAATATTCAGAAAATCCCGAGCAACCTGATTCTCAATAGGACTAGTAAGACCCAAACTGAAATTATGGGAACTCTCGAATTGCTTAGCAAGTTTCTGAGCTTTTTCCAAATTTGTGATCAAAATTTTACCACCTTCTTTAAGCGCTGGAATAGGCTTTTGAGGTTTTTTCAAAATTTTTGTGAGTTTCCAAAAGGGTTTGGAACTCGGGTCTAATTTAGAAATATTATTTTCAAAAGTTTTGTTCCTCAGGGCAGAGAATCGCTTTTTAATTTGTTTTTGCAAATCCCGCCAGATAACTTTCATGGCAGGATCGCGTGTTCTTTGATATTGTCTCCTACGGACATTTTTAAGACGGATCAAGAGCTGAAGATCATCGTCTATTATAATTGAATCGAATTTAATCTCGCATTTTGGTACTGAGGCAGCTCTTGCTTCAACTATAGAAGTAGTCAGAGATTCAAGAGCATAATTAATTTCATCTTTGGTTTGCAAAGGAATGTTTGGATCGAAGTTATATTCCATAAATGTTCGATACTGCTCCCAATCAGCTCTATGGTAATTGAAAGTAGAGCTGTTGGGATTACAAATTATTTCTTGGGATATTTCAAAAGTTACTGGAAGGTGATCAGAACCGAAGTCAGCATGGGTAACCAATTGGCTACAAAGTTGACATGAATCAGTTAAGACCAAATCAATAGTGGAGGGATTTCTTGCAGAAGAAAAGCATGTTGGGCTGTTTGGATATTGAATAGTGTAATAACCTGCAGAACAATCATCAAACAGAATATTACCATTGGAATTGCTTTGAGCATTATTCCATGAGCGGTGTTTTGCATTAAAATCACCAATAATGAAGAATTTAGACCTATGACGCGTAAGTTTCTGGAGGTCACCCTTGAGAAAATTCTTTTGCTGGCCTACGCATTGGAATGGCAAATAGGCAGCTATAAACGTAAGTTTTCCAAATTATGTTTCAACAGAAACTCCCAAAGTTTCAAAAACTTTGGTTTCAAATGAAGAAAGAATTTTATGTTTGATTCGTCTATGAATAATGATGGCAACGCCACCACAGGGTCCATCAAGACGATCATTTCTATAAATCAAGTAATTTGCGTCCTTCTTAACCTTATGGGCAGGTTTAAGGAACGTTTCAGTTATAACGGTAATATGCACGTTATGAACTCTAAAAAAGTTAAATAGCTCGTCTTCATTATCTTTAAGAGATCGAGCATTCCAATTTACAATATTTAAAGCTTTAAAATCCATTACTGAATTTTAAAGTCATGACAATATTATTTGCAAATTTTACTCCAGTTTGAATAGCATCAAACATGGAGTTAGATTTAAGCATATCAGAAATCATGTCAATTAATGAATTCTGTAAAAATTCCATTTTGGGGGCAGTAATGCTTCCTAAGTCAAAATTGTCAAAATTTCCGTTAGAACGGTGGTTAGTATTTTGATTTCTACCCGCTGCAATAGCAGCATAGGTAGCTCCATTAACTCGCTGAACATTGTTAGCAGCGAGGGGAGTAGGTACAGATGAAACATTTGAAGCAGGGGAGATATTTGTACCTACGGGTACGAATGTAGAATTTGTTCCTCGCTGACCGTTGTTAACAGCAGAGGAATTTGTACCTGGTCGGAAACGTGGAGCGTTTCCTACCTGACGGTTAGAACGAGATTGTAGGATCGCTTTGCGAGTCTTACATTCCCAAAAATTGGATTTGTGGTTTTCATCACAATTTGAACATTTAAATTTCTTAGGATCTTCCTTCACAGGACAGTCGTCCTTTGCGTGAGAGGAATCACCACAATTCATGCATTTAGCTGGCATGTAGCAATTTTTAGTTCCGTGACCCCATCCCTGGCACTTACGGCACTGGGTGAGGTTTTGGAAATTTCCTCCAGTCTTCCTGAAGTGTTCCCACTTCACTCGGACATGGAGCATAAGGCTAGCTTTTTCTAAGGCCTTAAGGTTGTTTAGTTCACTAGATTTGAAGTGAACTAAA